TTTTAATGGTTGAACTGGATGGACATTTTTCAGCCAGACTAACTATGTAACTATGGTGGCAGGGGAATAAGTGTGCATTAGTGCAGTAGCAGTGAGCAAAGATGTGTTCTTCGGTGCTATGATAGTGAGTAAATATGTGTTCATCGGTGCAGTGGTGGTGGGAGTAGAAGTGCATGTTACTGTCTTGGTAATGCCGTGTAGTGAAGGTGAGTTGATGTGTGTTTGTACAGTAGCAGCAGGAAGTGTGCATTGTTGCTGTCAGGGACATGCTGGCTGTAGCGCAACTGAGGCTTGTAGCCACACACTAATGCACAGGCGTGGGCCTGTGGGTGCTCGTACTGTTGTGTGCAGGCACGCGCATATATACACGCACATATGCACATGCATGGGTGTGCGCGCACGGGAATGCATATTGGCTAATTCTGGTGCCTACTGGCCTAGTTACACTAGTGAATTTCTGTCTGATCTGCAGCTCTCCCTGTATTTTTGTGCCTCTTTCTGTATTGATACCCGTGATTGACCCGGCTCGTCCTGACCTAGCTTGAATGCTACCTGCACTGACCTTGGCTTGATTCTTGGAATTTGCCTCTGCCTTCTAAGAAAAGAAAAATTGAACAAATAATAACCAACATCCATGTGCATATCTCTCTCTCTCTCTCTCTCTATACACAAATACCTAAAATGCATTATATAAAGGACAACCAGTCAAAAAAAAAAGGTAAATATATACAGTGTTCAAAATAATAGCAGTGTGTTGAGAAAAGTGAATAAAGCTCAAAATCATTCTAATAGCTTTTATTTCCATACACACAAATGCCTTGGGAACACTAAACATTCAATTCCAAATCAAAACATGAAGAAAAATATATCAAAGTTGTGTTGTTCCTCTAAAAAAATTGAAGAAAAGTGAATATTAGACTGTTCAAAAAAATACCAGTGTTTGAATACAAATACTTCTTTACAAACTCAAACATTCACTATATAAACTGAAAAATGTTGGAAGATTTTGCTTTCCTTTCAATCACTTAATTAATATTTAGTTGTATAACCACTGTTTCTGAGAACTGCTGTACATCTGTGTTGTACGGAGTCAACCAACTTCTGGCACCTGTGAACAGGTATTCCAGCCCAGGATGATTGGACTACATTCCATAGTTCTCTATTTCTTGGTTTTGCCTCAGAAACTGCATTTTTGATGTCACCCCACAAGCTTTCTATTGGATTAAGATCCAGGGATTGGGCTGGCCACTCCATAACGTCAATCTTGTTGGTCTGGAACCAAGATGTTGCACGTTTACTGGTGTGTTTGGGGTTGTTGTCTTGTTGGAACACCCATTTCAAGGGTATTTCCTCTTCAGCATAAGGCAGCATGACCTCTTCAAGTATTCTGATGTATTCAAACTGATCCATGATCCCTGGTATGCGATAAATAGGCCCAACACCGTAGTATGAGAAACCATGCTTCACTGTCTTCACAATGTACTGTGGCTTGAATTCAGTGTTTGGGGGTCGTCTGACAAACTGTCTCTGGCCACTAGACTCAAAAAGAACAATCTTCCTTTCATAAGTCCACAAAATGTTGCGCCATTTCTCTTTAGGCCAGTCAATGTGCTCTTTTGCAAATTGTAACCTCTTCAGCACATGTGTTTTTTTCAACAGTAGGACTTTGCTGGGGCTTCTTGCAGATAGCTTGGCTTCACATAGGCGTCTTCTAATTGTAACAGTACTCACAGGTAACTTTAGACCTTCTTTGATCTTCCTGGAGCTGATTGTTGGCTGAGTCCTTGCCATTTTGGCTATTCTTCTATCCATTCGAATGGTAGTTTTTCGCTTTCTTCCATGTCTTTCAGGTTTTGGTTGCCATTTTAAAGCATTTGCGATCATTTTAGCTGAGCAGCCTATCATTTTCTGCACTTCTTTATGTTTTCCCCGCTCCAATCAACTTTTTAATCAAGGTACGCTGTTCTTCTGAACAATGTCTGGAACGACCCATTTTCCTCAATTTCAGAGAGAAATGCACTGTAACCAGCATGTACAACATTTGCTGCCTTCCTTCCTTAAATAAGGGCAATAGTTGCCACCTGTTTTTGAAAGAATGAATGACCTAATAGAACTCCACACTGCTATTATTTTGAACATGCCCCTTTCAATTAGTGATTCAATTACACAGAATCAGCAGCATGCATGTCATGAATGTTGAGTCTGTTGGATTTCTATTACTCTACTACATCTGCTAGTAAATTATTTGCCATGTAGAAATATCATTTCTACGAAAAACAGTGATTGATCAGGTTAGTGATGTCTGACTGCTATTATTTTGAACACAACTGTGTATATATATAAATATTTGAGGATGTTTAGCTCAGTGGTAGATGCGTTTTCAAGTGAGTTCACGCCAGTCAGGAACTATATTTCAGGGCTTGGTAGTCCACGTTTATTAATAGGAAAGGCAAACACAAAAGTCCAACATAAGGTTTCCCACGCAGCGGTTTTCTCCAGTAAAATACACACAGTCCAAATGAAAATACTAACCCGTCTGGCTACTCTTCAGCAGCACTGCTGTATCTAACTGGTCCTTCTGAACACCAGCTCTTCCAGGCACACACAACTTAGAGCTTCTTAATGCACACAGCTTTGAGCTCCTTAATGCACACAGCCCCAAGCTTCTAGGATGCACACAACTCCTCTGTCCAAGTCCTCAGGCTATTAACTTGGGCACACACAGCTCCTCTGGCCTAGTCCTGAGGCCATTAACTTGGACACACACAGCTCCTCTGGCCTAGTACTCAGGCCGTTATCTGTCTCTTGCAGACATTCATACTCCAGCTGCCACCTGCAGCCTCTCTGACTCCTGTAGGACACCTTCTGTCTCTCTTGGGTGGAGCCATGAGGTACTCCTAAACCTCCATTATAAGGGCTGTGTGCACCTGGGCACACACCCTGCTGTTCTTCTACAAAACCCGGACACTGGGTTGGAGATTCCGTCCTACCCAAGGAACTATGGAATCTCCAAACTAAGGAGCCCCATCCATGACTAACCAAAACCTGGAGAAAACTACAACAGCAGTTTTCTCCATTCAGAACATCTGCTCTCTAGTCTTGCACTCAGCAAAAGTGCAAACCCTGTGTCCTTTTGCTGACCATTTACATAGTGACAGGACCTTGTACTGTTACAATATATATACTTTATATGTAAAGAGTTGATTTATTTTGTTACTTATACATATATGAAAAGTGTAATTTCAAATCTAGAATGAACTACAAAAAATGTATTTTCTTACCCCTGAATAATAGGGAATATAATAACCGCAACAAAGAAAAAAATGGCTTCAACTCATTGTGCTTGCCGGCCCAAGGGAGATCACCCCCAAATGCATATGGATCTCACTAATAGAAAAATATCTGAAATACATATTTTGGGGTTACAGTGTTAGATGGATAAAAGTAGTAGTATGGTGGACATTAGCTGTCTGGATAGCACAAAGGCAGAAATAAACAAAGAGATTTCATAAGAACCCCAAAGTAAGGTACCATTCCTTTATCCTAATCTTAAGAATCTTGAGAGCGTGCTTCACTCTTTGGATGTCGTTTAAGCTTTTCAAACTTATCTGAAGTCTACAGCTTCATTTTGAGTCTCTGTTGACAGTTTGTTCTACCTGAGGGTCCTCGCAGGGAGAGGCTGCCTGTCCATCCACTGTTTCTTAGTGGATTTGTCCGCATATTTCTGAAGCCTATGACATCAAAAGCATCAAGTGCCCTGCTTTTTTATTTTTGGCCAGTTTCCATTCACCTGGAAGGTGGCAGCATCACCCAAATAGTGATGAAAATGAAGTGCCCCTTGTCCTGTTATATACTTCAAGAAAAGGATTTTACAGGTAAATCAAAAATCCTAATTTCTTATAAGTTCTTTAACTATTTATATAATTTCTTTGCTTTAAAGTCTTTTTATTAAAAGGTGTACCTATGACACTGGATTCTTAAGGCTTTATGAGTTTTTTAAAAAGAAACCACTGCAGAAGCGGTTTACTTCTAGGCTCTCTTTTTACCTAAAATATTGTAGTAAGCCTCTGAACACTGATGGGGAGCTACTGCGAGGGCCATCTTACATCTGGGCACTGCCCAGGGAACCCAGGTGCATGGGGGGCCATAATCAGGAAAAGGTGGGTGGTGGGTGTTTTGTGCCGGGTGTTTTGACAGGAGCAACTGTAATGTCACTTTGGTCAAAAGAAGCAGCAGCTGGCTGATGATGGGGAGAAGATTCAGCTTTCTCCTCTATCCTGCAGGAGGCGGAAGAGAGCCGGCATTGAGACTAAGAAGTCACCTCTCGGTCTCAGCTCGGGAGAGGAAGGAGCAGCTGACCTCATTGAAGGTGGTAACAGAATGTGATCTTTGAGTACAAGACTTTGGGAGGGGGTGGTACAATTCTGATGTATGGGGACAGCTTATAGAAAAGGACACTTGATGTATGGACAATGTGATAGACACGTGATGCATGGGGAAATTGTGATGAGGACACCCGATAGATGGAAACATTGTGATGGGGACACCTGATGTACAGGGACACTTGATGTGTGAGACCACTGTTATGAGGACACCTGATGGATGGGGTAACTGTGATGAGGACACCTGATGGATGGGGATACTGATAGAGACATCTGATGTATAAGAACATTGTGGTGGGGATACCTGATCTATGGGGACACTGTGAAGGTGACTATTGATAGATAGAGGCACTGTTATGGGGGACACCTGATGTATGGAGACACTGTGATAGGCAGAACCTGATGTATGGGGCCACTGTGATGGAGAGACCATGATGGGGACACCCGTTGCATGGGGACATTTTGATAAGGATACCTGATAAATCAGAACACTGTGATGGGGAGACTGTGATGAGAACACCTGATGTCCAGCCTGATGACCCGATCCAGCCTGATGACCCGATCCAGCCTGATGACCCGGTGTTCGTGATCCAGCCTGATGACCCGATCCAGCCTGATGACCCGCTCCTGCCTGGTGCCTCGATGCCCGTGGTCCGGCCTGGTGCCTCGGTGCCCGTGGTCCGGCCTGGTGCCTCGGTGCCCGTGGTCCGGCCTGGTGCCTCGGTGCCCTTGATCCGGCCTGGTGCCTCGGTGCCCTTGATCCGGCCTGGTGCCTTGGTGCCCGCTGTTCTGCCAGATGACTCGGTGTCCGCTGTCGTGCCAGATGACTCGGTGTCCGCTGTCGTGCCAGATGACTCGGTGTCCGCTGTCGTGCCAGATGACTCGGTGCCCGCTGTCGAGCCAGGTGACTCGGTGCCCGCTGTCGAGCCAGATGACTCGGTGCCCGCTGTCGAGCTTGGTGACTCGGTGCTCGCTGTCGTGCCAGATGACTCGGTGCCCGCTGTCGAGCTTGGTGACTCGGTGCTCGCTGTCGTGCCAGATGACTCGGTGCCCGCTGTCGTGCCAGATGACTCGGTGCCCGCTGTCATGCCAGGTGACTCGGTGCCCGCTGTTGAGCTTGGTGACCCGGTGCCCGCTGTTATGCCCGATGACTCGGTGCCCGTTGCCTCGCCTGATGGCCCGGTGCCCGCTGCTCCGCCTGATGTGCCTCTGCCCGCTGCTCCGCCTGATGTGCCTCTGTCCACTGCCCAGCCTGATGTGCCAGCCCGATATCCAGCTAGTTACCTGACCTAGGCGGTGGAACATTTTGCCCACTAAGGACTGTTTGGAGCGTCCTGAGGCCGCTCCTTGAGGGGGGGGGGGTACTGTCAGGAATGGACTCGCCAATGGTGGTGGGACTCACCTGTCTTGTGGGCTGCAGTACCAAGGCTGGCCAGCGGGTGCTCTCAGCAGCCAGAATCTCACTCCTGCAATCAGGCCATCACCTGAGGCTGATTGCAGGAAGTGTATTTAAGCAGGACCAGGCCTGTGATCAGTGCCTTGGTGTATGTTTGCCATGATCCTGCTTTGATCCTGACTCTGAACCTGACTCTGAACGAACTCCGCCTGTCCTGACCTCAGCTATTCCTGACCACTCTTCCGCTCGCTCCTAGTACCCTGTTTGCCCATTAGCTACCGACCCAGCCCGCCTGACTACGTTGTGCTCCATACATATATACATACAGTGGGGATCGAAAGTTTGGGCACCCCAGCTAAAAATTTGTATTAATGTGCATAAAGAAGCCAAGGAAAGATGGAAAAATCTCCAAAAGGCATCAAATTACAGAATAGACATTCATATAATATGTCAACAAAAGTTAGATTTTATTTCCATCATTTACACTTTCAAAATAACAGAAAACAAAAAAATGGCGTCTGCAAAAGTTTGGGCACCCTGCAGAGTTAATATCTTGTACTTGTTGCCTTTGGCAAGTATCACAGCTTGTAAACGCTTTTTGTAGCCAGCCAAGAGTCTGTCAATTCTTGTTTGAGGTATCTTTGCCCATTCTTCCTTACAAAAGTCTTCCAGTTCTTTGAGATTTCTGGGCTGTCTGTCACGCACTGCTCTTTTAAGGTCTATCCATAGATTTTCAATTATGTTGAGGTCAGGAGATTGTGAAGGCCATGGCAAAACCTTCAGTTTACGCCTCTTGATGTAATCCCCCGTGGATTTCAAGGTGTGTTTAGGATCATTATCCATTTGTAGAAGCCATCCTCTCTTTAACTTCAGCTTTTTCACAGATGGCATCAAGTTACCATCCAAAATTTGCTGAAATTTTATTGAATCCATTTTTCCTTCTACTCGTGAGATGTTCCCTGTGCCACTGGCTGCAACACAACCCCAAAGCATGATTGATCCAACCCCATGCTTAACAGTTGGACAGAGGTTCTTTTCATTAAATTCTGTGCCCCTTCTTCTCCAAACGTACCTTTGCTCATTCCGGCCAAAAAGTTTCAATTTGAACCTCATCGGTCCACAGAACTTATTTCCAAAATGCATCAGGCTTGTCTATATGTTCATTTGCAAAGTTCAAACGATGATTTTTGTGGTGAGGACGTAGAAGAGGTTTTCTTCTGATGACTCTTCCATGAAGACCATATTTGTACAAGTATCTCTTTATAGTGGAATAGTGTACCACAACTCCAGTGTCTGCCAGATCTTTCTGGAGGGATCGTGCAGTCAAACGTGGGTTTTGAATTGTTTTTCTCACAATCCTGCGAGCTGTTCTGTCTGATATTTTTCTTGGTCTTCCAGATCTTGCTTTAACTTCCACTGTTCCTGATGACTGCCATTTCTTAACTACATTCTGAACAGAGGATATTGACATCAGAAAACGCTTTGCTATCTTCTTATAGCCTTCTCCAGCTTTGTGAGCGTCAACTATTTTCAGTTTCAGTTTTCTAGACAACTGCTTAGAAGAACCCATGGTGCTGATTGTTGGGGCAAGGTCAGATGAGTCTGGGCATTTAAAACCTTTGAGATTGACATCATCTGATCTTCCCAGACGATGATTGAGAACAATCCATGACACTGGCAGGTCTCAGCTTGGCAAAGGGGGCAGTGCATGCTATAAATTCTGCAGGGTGCCCAAACTTTTGCAGACGCCATTTTTTTGTTTTCTGTTATTTTGAAAGTGTAAATGATGGAAATAAAATCTAACTTTTGTTGACATATTATAAGAATGTCTAATCTGTAATTTGATGCCTTTTGGAGATTTTTCCATCTTTCCTTGGCTTCTTTATTCTTATACAAATTTTTAGCTGGGGTGCCCAAACTTTTGATTCCCACTGTGTGTGTATGTATATATATATATATATATATATATATATATATATATATATATATATATATATATATCAGTTTAGGTTTGGGTTTGTTTCACCTTGTTGTATGTATTTGTGTTAGTTTTGGGTTTGGCTTGTTGCACTGCGTTTATGTTTGTGTTGTCCCTAATAAATTATCTTATTTACACGCTATGCGCTTTCCCCTGTGTCGGTCCACACACCCTCTGGTAATTCCCGGAGCCCTGACAGAGCTCTGCAGTAAGTAATTTCAGATCTCCACCCCTTTTTTCTGAACTCTCAATCAAGCTTTATCAATTCAGCACTTTGAACAGATGTAGAGAAGAATTTGTTTAATCTCTGTGTATCACCTGAGGCCAGTCACTTCAGAGTATATGTAAGGGTTTACAGCTACTTTAAATCATTTAAAAAATAGAGCATCTCCTGCCCACTACTGCATGCTTGAAACAAACACAGGTACTTATATTTGTATGAAAGTGTACACATCTTGAGCAGATGTGTGCACACAATGCACAAGTGAGGCCCAATAAAAGCTATTTTTTTACCTTCACAGTTTCTTTTATCTTCTTTCGCAATTCTTGCAGTTTGCCACGAAATTCACAGGCTGTCAGGTGTTTTTTGTCCCTCTCACTCTGGTTCTTTCCCCGCATCATAACGGTTTCTCTGCGGGAAACTACAGCTTCCATGTCACGGATCAACTTCTCCTGCTGCTTCATCAACTGAGTATAACGTGCCTGAAGACATACACATATATTATTTAGATATATACTATCTCTCTCTCTCTCTCTCTATATATATATAATAATTTTTTTTTTTTGCAATTTGTTTATTTTTTAACAGAAAATTATTTAGATTTTTTTGTATATTAAAGTGTATTATAAATTTTTGCACGACTTTAAACTTTCTGCATCCTTGTTGGCTGAAGACAGGAGCCTGTTGATTTGTCTGTATGGGGGACAACATAGGTTCACTTTGTAGCCCTGTTTTGGGGGGGGTTATGTGAAATGGCCCACACCAAACAAGCTATGGCGCTAACCTGTATATGAGTAGGCAATCCTGAGCCTTCGCTATATGGAAGAGGGGGTTGTGATAATACAAATGGCAGTGCCTCCACCTAGAATAGGGATCCTGCAATTGAGGAGACTCACCCCCCTTTTCTAGGAATGTAACAGGTAGACAACTTAAAGTAACTATACATAGCAGTATTAATGCACCCAGATTATATTTCTAACATGATAAACATGTCACCACACCTGTATGAGATTAATGCAAAGTTTATATAAAGCAGCCACATAAAACAGGATGCATAAGAATAACATTCAGGAATTACAATTTAGCATAAATTGGGAGGTTGCAATTATACCCGGGTATATGTGCATGTAGTATACAGAATACCTCCAACCATGGGTTATAGCGCTGTCCGGTTGCAGGGGCCCCTGGAGAGGTGAGAGTCAATAAGATGCACGCTTCCACTTTAGATGCTGTGATGGCGTCCAAGTAACATGCGGATGATTGCACTGCTTGTCTGAAGATCAGCGATGCATCACCTAAAAGGATAAAATGCCCTATCTAGCCTTACTCTTAGTCCCTATCCCTAAACTGGGCTGTCACTGCAACCGGGCCTCTATCTGTCTAAGTGGCCGTCGGATGCCTAACCTACCTCTAGCCTAATCTATCCAACACTCCCTATGCTAATCCTAGCTAAAGAGAGATCCAGACCAATAAGGCTCTTCAAGCAAAGAGGCTGCAAAGATACACTGCAATTAATGAAAGTTCACCTGACAGTCTTATGCAGGTGAAAACACTGATCTATATATATATATATATATATATATATATATATATATATATATATATATATAGACAACTATAAGGATTCTGCAGTGTGTAAATAGAATAATGATAATGAACCACAAATCTCTCTCTTACAGAGTTATTAGGGTTCCTATACAGAAGTTGAAATATAACAGAGGCAGACCTAATCTGCTTCAGTAACAACTACATAGATAACAGCCTTGTTAATCTGGATCATTACTCACAGAATCACCATACAGTTCTCCCCAGATACACAGCACATGGCAGGCTGGAACCCTCTGCCTGATACTTCCTGGAAAACAAAACTATATAACATCCTGGGGTTTCTTGACCTCTTTGTAGGGGCAGGAAGCACACCTAGGGACTTGTCTGTAATGGGACCTCTATGGTAGTGGCTGTATATGGATGTAAACAAACCACAACTAGTGTATAAAATAACAGTTCCCTACACTCTCCCCCTGGTGAAACCTTTACGTCCCGTCAAAGGAAGCTCACATTATATACAATAATGAAATTCAATTTCAAATACACAACGTTGTCCTCTCTCCATTACAATGGTTTGCTAAAGAAAACAACAGATTAGTATAAATACATGCCAGGTGATGCAAATACAGGTAGCATATTGACCAGATTAGATACTGCCCCTACCCAGGCATGGTATAGATGGGGCTGAGGAATGATGCTGGGATCTCCCAAAGTATCATAAGTCAAAACAGGTGGTGGATGTCTAACCCTTCCTCCTCTACGCACTTCCCTATGAGGTAATCCCTGATTTTCAGGTACTGAATGAGGGCTTTGTGTCATGGGAAGAGATGGCACTGATTGTGGAGAGTAGAACTAGATCCTTGGTTAGGCGTACTCACTGACTCAGGCACAAACTCTGGAGATCTAGGGTTCAGTGACTCTCTTGGAAGAGGATAAGCTGTTGGGCTCTGAATCTCAGGAACTACAGTCCAGTCACTCTCCTTAGAGTCAGGAGGGTCAGTTGTAATGTTAGCCTGAGGTTGTGGGGAGTCCCTTCCCACAGTATCTTCTGAGTCATCATCATCATTGACTTGAGGAATAGGGAGCAAATGGTTTCGATGCCAAGCTTTTACTCTACCTTCTGGTCCCTTTATTTTGTACACAGGAATTCCAGGTAATTTGCTCACCACTGTAAAAATCTCATTCCTCCATCGGTCAGCTAATTTATGCTTCCCAGAAGGGCCCAAGTTTCTAAGCAATACCTGGTCACCAGGTTTCAATTCTCTGTATCTCACACGACGATCAAACCTCCTTTTGTTCCCTTCATTTATCTTGGCAGCATTTTCTTCAGCCAAACGATAAGCTGACTTAAGGGTATCTTTCAGACAAGCTACATACTGATAGTGACTTTGATGATCGACAC